TTGAGGTGGTAGGCTGCAATTTCTTTGTCAATTGTTGGAGAAAAAAAATGAAGAACAAGAGAAGAAATGAGATTTAGATATGGAAAAGGAGTTTGGAAGAGAGAAAGGAAGAAAGAAAGAGAAAAGAGAGAGGAAGAGAGAAGTCTGTTTTTCTCTTTCCTCCATAAAAGACATCATATAAATGCTGGAAAAGTTAAAAAAAGAAAAGAAATCAAATTTCAAAAATTGGACAAAAGTGCCCTCCTCACTCCGCGTGCAGCCTATACCATTGGTTACTGACTCTATTCTAGGCCCATTAATATAGAGAGAAGAGGAAAGCGAAAAGAATGAATTTGAAAGTGCTTATTTTTTTGTTGTACCGATTCGATGTATATATTATACAACTCAGCTAACCTAAAAAATAAAACTTGTAACTAGTTTAATTGTTACGGTTCGAACCGACCTATCTAGCCAAGAGAAAACGAAGTTGTTTTCCTCGATCAACACCCTATCTAGTATTCCTTTCAAAAAAAAAAAAACACCCTATCTAGTATTAGGAACAATAATTCTGTTGATGTGACTTGAATCGGACTATCAGGCATCAGCCGGTATGACTGGAAGTCACGGGGTATGGGTCGATACACTTTTGGGTTGTCAGTTTTGAGCCTGGTGGGTTAATTCCTTAAATATTTTTTTTTTAATTTACCACGAATATAGTGTTTTGAAAAGTATTTACAAGAATATTGTGTTTTTTGATATGTTTAAAGCGCCGAAGCCTTAGACTCAGGCGCTGCCGCTGGATGCTTTTTTAACGAAAAAAACACAACGGCGCCGCCCCAGAATGGGGCTTTGTCGCTTTTAAGAAGGTAAAAGCGTCGGCGCCCCAGACTGGGGCTTTGTCGCTGCCATTTTGTTCCACTCCAGCACCACCCATCACCATATATACTGCACCTTTCCTTCGGTTCTTCATCACCAAAAAACTAAAAGAAGTTCTGAAAGAAGCTCTAGTGTTGCTGTCTGGTTGCTGGGAAGATGGCTAATAAAAGGTAAGAGTCGTATTTTTTTTTTCATGTATTCATCATAATGATTTTGTCCAGTTAGTAATTAGTGAGTTTGTTTTTTATGTAGTGGTTTTAGAAGATTTGAACTAACTGTTCGGTGGCGATCAGAGAAAGTAGAAGACAATTTGGGTATCCATTTTGTTCGTGGTCTAAGTTTCCAGATGACTATTCCATCCAGGGTGAACTATCAGAAACTTTGTGATCATCTAATTCGGAGAATACGGATTAGAGACGAAACAGTACAAGATAGTGTTGTGATTACAGGTTTCACCTACTGTCTTCCAGAATGGCAGAATGGTCTTTTATTTCATTATGCAATGTCTATTGTCGATGATGATAGCTTAAATGTGCTTTGGAATTTTATGGCACAAAATCCTTATTGTTTGGGTGCTGAGATACATGCTGAGCTCAGTGAGGATCAAGGTGGAGAGGAAGACGATGATGACGGTGATGACACATGGAGCATGCCATCCGATCATGATTATGATGATGGTGATGACGGAGATGAGGAAGACGATGATGAGGAGGAGGAGGAGGACGACGACGTCGAGGAGGGAGGAGAACAACCTAATTATCCTCCATATTTTTACTTGCAGGGTAATGAAGAGGACGAGGAATTATCATATGCTGATTCATATGGCGTAATTCCAGGGTCTACTGTTGGTGGTTTTGATGGAGGTTTCTACAAGGGGCAAATATTTCACTCGAAACAAGCTACACAGGTGGCGATGAAACACTATGCACTACAACGCAACTTTCAGTATAACGTGGTGGAGTCGTCACCTTCAATCTGGAAGATCAGATGTTTGATGCACAAGGAGGACAAATGTCCTTGGATGGTGTGGTTTGGATGTCGAGAAATGGGAGGCCATTGGACCGTGAGAAAGGTCGAGTTGGTGCATACTTGTAGCAGTACGACTCAACCGACGGATCATCGCCATCTTGATGTCGACGTGATATCTGAGGCCGTCAAACACTTGGTACGTGCCCAACCAAATCTGAGTGTTCTAAATGTTCAGGCCGAGTTGAAAAATAAGTTTAATATGCAAGTTACTTACAAGAAGGCTTGGTATGGGAAACAAAGAGCATTGGAGAAGTTGCATGGAAATTGGGAAGAATCCTATGATTTTTTGCAAACATTCTTGCGGGTGGTCAAGAGAAAAATGCCAACATCGGTGATTGATTGGGTAAGTGTTCCTTCAACTCAACCAGGTCATTCAATATTTCAGCGAGTATTCTGGGCTTATGGACCTTGTATAGATGGATTCAAGAATTGTCCAGGCATTATGGTTGTTGATGGAACATTTCTTACTGGGAAGTATAAAGGAGTGCTACTCATGGCGAGCTCATTTGATGGACGGAAGAAGATTTTTCCAATTGCATTTGCCATAGTGGAGAGTGAGAATACTGATAGTTGGCCATGGTTCACAGTTGTATGCATCATCTCAGATAGACATGCAGGACTCTATGAAGCCATGAATAACATCGGAAGAGGTTGGGAGTGGAGGTGGTGCATGCGACACTATGCAAGCAATTTGCAAAGGAAGACTAAAAACAGAATTATGTATAATCAACTATTTCGAGTCGATAAGCTTTCTTCATATAATTTTGTTACTTGTTTTCATGTAATTTTGTCATGAATTTATCTAACCCGTGTGGTGGTTTGTTTTATTTTGTTAGCCGGAGAAAAACGGTTGGAGAAGTTTGATCGTCAAGCTGAGCAATTTAAGAAGGTGGCCGCTGATAGAAATATTTCATGTGATAACTGGGTGGATCAACATCAGATTCGTTGTAGTTTAGCACACGATAACTACAATGGTGGGCGTCGTTGGTCTATCCTGACATCCAACATGGCAGAAAGCGTCAATGGTATTTTCAAAGGTATTCGTGCACTTCCTATAGCTTCTCTTGTGCAACATACCTATTGGCGATTGGTGGAGAAATTCGATAAGTACAGGTTGGAGACAGGAGCAGAAATTAGAAGTGGTCCTTCACAGTACTCCACCAAGTGCGAAGAGCTGATGAAGGCGTGGTCACAAAAGGCAGTTGGACATTCTGTGACAGCTCTTGATCGACGTCAAGGCATCTATGTAGTTCAGACTCCTCCCAACAATTTCAACATGACGGGGTCAAACACACTCACAATGCACTTTGACGACCCCAACCGGACGAGATTTTGCACTTGTGGTAAATTTCAAGGAAATAAAATTCCTTGCTCTCATGCCATTGCAGCTTGCAACCGAATGAGTGCGAATGTTTACAAGCCTGTCCTAACAGTCGAAGACACATACCCGACCAGTCCTCGTCTGGTATGTCTACTACGACGGCATCACCGTCGATCGCTAATCCGGTGAGTGTCGCAACGTCCTCTAGGGTGATTGTCACCTCACCGAACGACATGTGAAATGTCGATGTCTCGGGTCGCCAACGCTCTACGAGCACAGTAATCAAACCCGGATCACCGGTAAGAGGGGCTAGTGGCAGAACACTAGACAAGCCGGCATCTACGAGCGCAGTAATCAAACCCGGATCACCGGTAAGAGGGGATTGTATCGAACTAAATTGCCCGTATGACGAATGTGGAATGGTCGATCACCAGCCTATAATTAATGCACAAAACTATATTAATTCAATTCCTTCAATTCACCTAATATTTATATTTATATATCTAAACTAAACTTATTCTAATATAATATACTCGTAACTTAATCTAATTCTATTCCTAATTTAATTTAATTCCAATCGTAATTTAATTTAATTCTATTCTATTATATCATATTATTCAGCTAATAAAACTATAGAAATAGTTTGAAAAAAACATACCTCATTTTCCCAAACTGCGTCAATCCGATGGTGACCATGCCCCCAAAGAAGTTCCGGATCCATCAGAGCAGTATCGATTGTCGTAGGTGGTGGTCTCATCGAACAAGGATCGATAAGCCTAGGAATTGGAAAAAAAATATTAGAACATAAAAAAATGTCGCCGGAAAAAAAAAAGTCGCCGCCGGCAAGAATCCGACACTCACTCCTGTAGCGTTCGCCGACGTCACCGCCGCCGCCACGCCGCCCTCGCCGCCCTCGGCCTCTTCTTCTGCCGCCGGGGGCCTGCTGCTCGTCGTCGGACATTCTGCGTCGCCGCTGTTGCTGGGGCGCCTTCGTCTTGTTCCTCGCGCCGCCGCCTGGGTCTGAGGCGCTGCCTCCTTAATCTGGGCGTCGCCGCTCTATTTTTGGCGTCGGTGCTGGGAGGGTGAAGGAGGTCGGGATGGAGGAGGATGAAGGAGGTCGGATGGAGGATGTGGTCTGGTCTGGTGCGAGAGGGCGAGGAAGGGGGTTATAAAAACAAAGGAGCATAGCGACGGCGCCACGGTCTCAGGCTTTGGCGCCATCGCTAGTTTTACCCTTAAAAACTGTATTTTCTGAGTCTCGGGCGCCGTCGCCAACTTCCCTCCATCAAAATACAATATTATTGTAAATACTTTTCAAAACACTATATTCGTAGTAAATTAAAAAAAAATATATTTAAGGAATTAACCCGAGCCTGGTCTGTAACCGTTTCCTTTACCATATTGGATTAGATTTAGACCCATATGGAGAAGTATAAATACTTCTCAAATCCTCTGTAATCTCCTCAATATAGTGAAACTGGCTCTTTGTCCGTGGACTAGCTAACTAACACACATTGTGTTAGTGAACCACGTAAATCGTGTGTCGTGTACTTCTGTTTTTCGTTTTCCTCCTTTTTTTCCCGATTCCGACGATTTCCAGATCCATAGCAGACAATTAAAAACAAATTCCCTATAGGCTTTCCCATAGAAATTAATTAATTGTGTGAACACAATTATTAATTTCTCTAGTGAGAAAACCCAGCAGCCTTGCTGTTGGCTTTGGGCTCCTGTTTCCACCACGAAATTAACCGTCTTCGCCTATAAATGACAAACCAATCAATTTTAGGGTCCCTTCATCACCCCCAGTATCATAACAACAGTAGTACACAGCAGATCAGAATCTCCCATTACCCTAATCCTCCCTCGAAGAAAGATCATCAGAATCCCAAAACACCCAGAAGAGAAGAAATAGTAATAATCAGATCTCATGTTCCCCCACGATAATGGCGGTGAAGATGATCCATCGTTGATCTTCTTCCCGCCAGACTTCACCACTCTTTCTTACCCACAATCACCGCCACCTCTACTGCCACAAGATCTCATCACCTTCCAGACCGCTGCTGCTCAGACTCCCACTCCGTTCACGGACCCGGCGGGCAACCCGAATTTCGCCGGCGCACAGTTCCCGGATCCACCGGCGGGGGTGGCTGAAGACGTGCCGGCCACAAGTGGTAATATGAGGAAGAACATAATTCACAGGGAAGTGGAGCGACAGAGGAGGAAAGAAATGGCCACCCTTCACTCTTCCCTCAGAAACCTCCTTCCTCTCCGCTTCGTCAAGGTACCAATATCATTTCCTATGTTTCGTAATGAAGCGAAAAGAGTATCGGAGAAATCGAAACTTAGCTTAATTTGACATTGATGTGAATGAATCTTTACTTCAGGGAAAGCGAGCGGTGTCGGATCATATGCAAGCGGCTGTCGAGTACATTAGAGAGCTCCAAAGAAGGACGGATGAACTGAGCAAGAAGAGAGATGCGCTCAAAAGCGGTTACGGTACCGGTACTAGGGATGATCAAGTTGGCTCGAGCAGTACAAGTAATGTTAGTGCAGTTAGTAGTGGTATAGTTATGGTTCGTCCATGTTTGATTGGAGTGGAGGTGGCGGTTAATGTTAGTAGTAGTAGTAGTGGAGGTGGAGGCCAACAAGGTGGTTTGCAGCTGTCTAGGGTTGTGGAGTTGCTGATGGGACAAGGACTCGATGTTGTAACGTGCGACACTGTCAGAGTGAACGATAGATTCATTCACACCCTTCAATCCAAGGTGGGTAAGAAAGCTAGCTAGCTATAGTTTTAACGAATTACTGTATTTTGCCTGTTCTTAGGTTATGTGGTGTAGATTGAATGGTTGCTTGTTTTGAACAGGGAAGTGATCCCTCCTCGTCCATTGATGTAGCTGCGCTTCAAAGCTTGCTCACCAGAGCTAGAGCTATGGGGTTATTAGGGAACATCCGACGAACCGATCGAAGCATGTAGCAACTAGTGTTAGTAGATGGATTTCCGCCGAGCTCTGGGGTGATCATGAGGTTTGTTGTCAGCCCTTTGGCCGCTTTGTTTTCTGATATGTGTAAGTTGCATGTCCTTTTTTTAGCCTTTCTGTCGAACTATTTCATATGGATGGGTTGTTGTTGTGTAAGCCTTGAATGAGGGTAATAAGATGATGGGAACCAGACGTGGTTGCCCAATTGGTACCATGGAATGCTCACCATATACCACTTGACTTCAATGTTTTGTATGCAATGCATGCATTTTGGTGCATCAATGATCCTTTGATCAAATGCCTTTTTTCTTCCTGCCAATTTCAATCTTTGCCTTAAAACTCCTCGTTGTATTGGAGATTCTGAGGTCTAGCTTAAATATGGGCTTGGACTGAGAAGATCTGATCAAGCTAGCTACCTTAGGGTGTTTTTCATGTTTGCTGTAATCTGAACTTCACTATCGTTGTCAAATGGGTCTTTCATGCTTTGTGGTAATCTAAACTCACTTTAATCTATAAAGCTAAATGCATGTAGAGGCTAATGAAGCATGCATGCGCCTATTAGACACATAAATCTGTGGGGACAATATTGTGTTTTGCTTCTACGAATTCCATGTGACTATGACTTCCTTATATCTTGCGCAATCAGAATTAGTAGGCCTTGCAATACATTCTATGTTACGTTGTTTGAGAATCAACCATGCATTTGCAAGTGTATTACGTTAGAGCTCTAGTAAGGGTCCTTATAATGAATATGTGCGAGGTTTTTTAACCAACAATATGTACGACGTTCGATGTGGACTTGATTAATTTCTAGAGAATGCGAGTTATGCCATGCATGTCTGGTGATTGTGCGATCATTCTAGTGTGAGATTCAACCAACTTCTTTTACTCCAAGGGATTGCTATGATTTCACCTTGGCCTACTACCAAAATTCAATATATTAATAAGGGCTTTGCTAGAATTTATATCTAACTAATATGATTTCTTCCAATCATTCGAATTAATTTTTCTATCAGAAAAAAAAAATTATAGGTTGTTTGGATGTAATATTTGGGTCAAATTCCACATATAAGTTTTGGCTGAAAAATGTTGATATTTCCCAAATGTTACAAATTTGGCATTCTGAAAATACTAGAAGGAGGGGTTAGTATTCTCAAAATATCATGGGCTTTCTTGTCTTGTTCTCAATTTGAATCCAAAATTGTCCTTGCTTTTTGCTTTACAAATTTTGAATCTCCCCTTCTTTATGTCCTTTCTAATTCATTACTCATAAATTTTAGATCCTTCATTACCACTTTTGTTGAATGTTTTAATAATAATACTAAATAATCACCCTAATTACATTTTTTATCCTTAATTACCATTTTATGGGTCATTAGTTAATTTTTTAAGTATATTTAACAGCCGTCGATCCCGATTTTCTTCCACCTCATAACAATTCCTCATCGGCCCTCTATCCATTATACATATAAGAAAAAGAGTTATAGGTATAATATGCCCCTCTACTATGACGTTTTATAAAACATGCCCCTCTACTATTTTTTACATCAAATATGCCCCTGTACTTTGAAAAATTATCAAACACGCACTTATGTTAAAATTTTTAATGAAAAAATTGTCAATCGTGGTTGAACCGAGATTTAGATGACCCGACATCGGCAAATGGGAGGAAAAATTTCAGTTTTGTCCCCTGTTTTATTTCCCTGGGTCTTTTCAAAGTGAAATTATTTGAATGATTTGATTATACAAAAGAACGAAAAAATTCTAAAGTGAATTTATTATGGATATTTTAGTCATTTGTGTCACCCAAACTAAAGTTCGGCCTTGGTTAACGGTTTTTGGATGAAAATTTTAACAAAAGGGCATGTTTGATCATTTTTACAAAGTACAGGGGCATGTTTGATGTAAAAAATAGTAGAGGGACATGTTTGATAAAACGTTATAGTAGAGAGGCATATTATACCTATAATCCTAAGAAAAACAATACCTCATCGACGTTGAAAACTACCTCATCAAATTACAAACCCACTTAATTTTGATTGAAGTGATGGTGTATCGCTAAATCATCCCAGCCCAAGCTCGTTTAGAATGAAAAAATTGTCTTTTGTTTATGTTATGAAAGGTAAAATGTTACTTGCCAAAATGTACTGAAAATGCCATATCGCTAATTTCACTATCGCAAACATTATATTTGATGACAACCATCACATATCAAATATCATAAATTGGTTATCTTGATGAACATAAGAGAGTTAGCACCATGATAACCATGAATTGTACTATAATGCAATCATAATTGTACTTATTGTTTATTTAGTTGTAGTCATTGTTTTTGCCCTCGAATTTTTTTTGCAATGATAATCATTGTTTTCTTTGTGGTAAAACTAGCCGCGGACTACTACAAGTCATATTCAGAATGATGCTAACTCCATATAAGATTAGCACAATATTCGACACCCAAATAATATAAATCGTGGAATGTGATACGGACGTGGTATTTACTATCACTTGGTAAAAACTCTTTAGGTTTTGGTGGTCATTGGACTTATTTTTTAAGGGCACAATGTTTGAGTTCCGAATAGAAATAACTCTTCTCCCCCCCCCCCCCCCCCCCCCCTCTCCTGCCTAAATTTGGTTGCCTTTTCCTTTTAGGGTTTAATAAGCACAACCCATAAAAGTAGAACAAGAGTAAAGTTGAACACCCATCATTATTGGTTCATGAATATTTGAACTAAGCAAAGGAAAGAATCATACTCTTGATCTCAAAATATCGTACGTATCTCACCCACCACCGTGCTCTCTATCTCATTATGGCCGGTAAGGTGGTGTTATTATATATCGATCGTTGCTGTACGTAGTTCAACAAAAGCACTAGCTTCCCTTAAAAAAAACACTAGCTTGCTAGGGAAATGTATCCGTTTTGAAGTATAATCACGCAGAATATATACGGAACAGCTAAGCTAATCTTCGTGCTTTGTATTTGTTAATACGGTCAAGATCTTGCTAATCCAATGCTTAGCATAGCTCCTTAATTAAACAATGCGTGAAGGAAATCATTGTGATATCTCTGCCATTGATACTGTTTGGCGTTATGGGTACCAAACCAAATCCCCGGAATAAGGCAAAATATAATTCTCACTAAGTAGTCTTGAATTCTACGTATTCTTTCTTTAATTTCTTTCCTTGATACTCTTAGGGTTCCAATATCTCGTGTGGTGCCTCTGGGTTTGTACTTTATATCAAGTGGTGTCATGATGCCTTTTTTCGATCTATAAGGTTTCCCATGATTCATCTACCAACCGAACCAATTGAATATAAAAAAAGTTTGTGGCATTTGTCTACGGATACATTGCATTGTGCCAAACCCGGCAACTTTTTTGATTATATGCCACCTTAAAGCTGAAGCTTATAGGTTTTAAGCCGAGGCAAAAGAATGAATTGATTAGTTCAAATTATGGGAGATGTAATGAAATCCGTAATTGTGAACAAAGGTTTGATCTAGTGGCGCCGATTTTTAATGTAAAAGTTGACAACCTCGTCAGACTAGACTTACCCATTATAGGAGTCCTTACTACACAATCATTAATTTAATTATTTCACCAAATAAAACATTTAATTATGTCACTATATATATATGCTCTAGCTTCCATTGAGAGAGTTAGTAGATTGCTTAGGGTTCTCCGTAATTAGGTTGAGCACTAACTAATATTAGTAAGAGAACATTCACTTCACTACACCTTGAATTCGAATTTTGAAGTCAACAATCATCTAAAAGTATATAGCATGTGTTTGGCCACATTTTTAGAAGTATTTTTTTTTGCTTCAAAAGCTCAAGTTAGGCCACACATTTCTAAAATTGTGGCTTTGGAAAAAGCTATAAACTACCTTTTACGGACATAAAAATATAGCTTTCTTTCAGAACTCTTATGATTTTGTTTTTGAAAATGCAAAACTATACTTACCAATTTTTAATTCTTTTTCCATAAAAATAATTTTCTTTTATTTACTTTAAGAACTAAAACAATATTATTAAGTAATATATAAGAATCTAACAAAATCTATTTTAACTATTTTTAAATTTCTGAAAATATTTTCTAATAGAAATCTTCTTTAGTCATTTCACACGCTCTTTATATTAAAAATGTAATTCCAGTAGTTTAACAAGCAAACACTCAAATACTTTTTATTAAAAGTACTTTCGTAAAAACTTCTGTCATAAGCTACTCTTTCAAGTGTTACCGTAAGGTCAATACTAATTTATATATATGTGGGGAAAACCCAACTGAAATTATATGATGATTTTTCTGAACATAAAATCCCATCGCAGGTGAGTTTTTCTCATGAGCCCTAACCTTTAGTACATCAATTAAAGCCATATTAATTATTATGTAGGCTTTGGATCGAACCTCTGAATTTTAAATGAAGGCGAAGGAAATAGTCATATCCATATGATAGAGAGTTAGCATACATCCAACGACATAACATACACTAATTACAATATGATTGTTTCGATATACTTCGATGAATTGAAATCGTCAATTAATATTTCTTATAAAATTGTTCTTAGGACTATAGTCTAATTAAAATTCACCTACTCAAAGTCAAGATATATAATATTATTATAAATGCGCTGCTACGGATCGGGAAATCGCCGGAATCGATAAAGTAAGAATACGAAAGCGAGAATCGAAAGACACAGACATACGATTTACGTTGTTCACTAACACGATGTGTGTTAGCTATGTCCATGGGCGAGAGAGAGAGCCAGTTTCACTATATCGAGGAGATTACAGATTACAGAGGAGATGAGAAGTATTTATAGTACTTATCCATGTGGGTCTAAACCTAATCCAATCTGGCAAAGGAAACGGTTACAGACCAGGCCCAGAACCCGAACCCAAATAACAGCGAGACCCCCGACTACCAGTCGTAGCGGCTGATAGTCCGATTCAAGTCACATTAACAAATCTCCACCTTGACTTGAATCCTCTTCCTCTGAAATCTCTGATGTACTCTGCTCCTTCTCTCTCTCTCCCGCCATCAATGCCCCGCAGGGTGGAGTCACCCACTGAAGACATTCAACAAGTCCAAGTAGTGTTGGAAGTTGCCATGTGGAACCGGCTTCGTGAACATATCAGCAGGATTATCCTCGATGCCAACCTTCTTCACCTTAATCCTCTTCTCTGTCGTC